ATATATATAGATAAAGTTTTTAATAAAAATTACAATAAAATTCAATAACTTGATGCTACCAACACCGAAGACAGAATAGTGGACCAGCGGAAACTGTAAAAACGTGAAGATAGATAGTCCGCTTGCTTGAATTGCACTTAAGTCGGCATCCGTCGGCTCTCGGTTACTCGGCAATATCGCGGCCACTCAAGGGTCATCGAGGCTTCTCATTGCCGACGACGGCTTGCCTACCTACGAGGCTACGATGAGATCGAAAGCAAGAGCGAGACGCTCACCCTCTGATTTGCTGTGGCCGGCGCATATGTTCTTTCGGTCCGCTTCTCTGCCTTCTCCTTCGTCTCCTCTCCTCGGCCCTTTTTCCTGCTTTTCAACGTTTTTTCATATCACGCTATCACGTCGCACATTGATCTTCCACTCGCGCTTCACAGAAAAGTTACAAAACGCAATATAACTTTGCGAGGTCCTATAAATGTAAACTATATATACTCGCATTGCGTCTGAGAAGGCGATTTACGATTGTCGCTTATTTGGGTGTAGAGTGCATTAAATAACGTCAGACAATCTGCTCAAGTGCTTTTTGCAAATAAATAAAAGCCACCTAGAATTTTAGTCGCTGTATCCTTAAGGGCTCGGTTCAATTCATGCTCGCAACGCTTTTGGAAATTATTTCATCTTTATTGTTTATCAAACGTTAAACAAGATCAAATAATGCTGTTTACCAAAACGAAACCAAATGATCATTATTTGCGTGAATAGAACTGCAGCCTAAATGACAAGTATCACAAAAAGAAGTAAATAATTTAGGTGAAAATATCGTTTTAGCTCTTACACTCGAATCGAGCGACAATTAATGAGTTACCCACACAGCACACTTTATCCGAAGGACGTTCTGAAAACGTTTTTAGGACGTTTTTTTAAGTATATCTATAGGACGTCGCTTGGAGAGCTGTATAGGTACTGATAATTCCATGATTAAACTAGGGACTCTCGATTTGACGGTTAATATTATTCGGTGCAGTATGAATGTGAGGAGATACTCGTTGAATTTCGCACCTCGGCCCACCCCTCGTGGTCGCGATGGCAAGGAGCTGATACAGTGCCCCACGTCGTCCTGTGATGGCATGGGTCATGTCTCAGGGAACTACGCTACCCACAGAAGGCAAGGCAGCATCGACATTTACCAAGCCTTTGACGTGAACGCTCGATTATGTATATATCGATTTGGCGATGCAGCACGCACGCAAGCACGCTACATACATACATACATACATTTAAATTTCTCCTCTTTGGTCCCTCAATGAAGCTTCAATAGATACTTTTATTCAAAAATAGTAGATGACAGTACATCCTGAAACACACACACACACACACACACACACATATATATATATATAACAAATGACATTATGTATAATGCGAATTACATTTATATGGATGGTTCTTGCATCAATGCATATTGGTGGTCCGTGGTGTAGTTGCTTCTTAAGTGTGTTGCGATACGAAACATACATCTAGAAACCTTATTTTCTCCTAGTTAAGCGGTTGAGTTGTACACTTTGTCAATATTATGTTGCCATATATATCTATATATGACGTACGTGTGAATATCCAGTGGTACTATATAGCTACCTTGCATAAGTATACATATATATATATACACAATATATAGTTTTCAGTTTTTGTTATACAGTTTACTCGCTCTTTCTCTCTTCTCCTCTTTCCTTTTATTTTTTGTCTCATACTCTACGTCATATTATGCGATACCAAAGATGTGTAGATGAGCCTCGTAATTGAATGAATTTTTTTCTTTTTTTTTTTTCCTCGCTGTTTTTACCCGACCCCTACGAAAAGGGATGGCAAAATCAAAGTTTGGCATTGCGGAAGAATTGGCATTGCACAGGACTCGCTTTCGATCGCGAGACTCATTCGTTTTCGTACGCATACATAGTAATTAATTCACTGACTACCCGTCTATCCGTTGAAAGCCGCTTTCGCCAGCCTCGAGTGGGCAGCTTTGTAGCGAACTGTTGTCGATGACCATGTCATAGCAGAACCGTAACGATCAAGAAAACCCACGAAGCGGTGAGAAGATATCGCTTCGCGATGCACCTCGTGTGCAAAGTCAAATTGGCAATTGGCGAGTTTCATTGGGGTCAGGTGTGAGTGTGCTCCCTGCTCTCCCTTTCGATGTTCTTAGAGTAAGACCGATGACGGATCAACGCGACTATGAAGCGCGATTGATCTTACGAGCGACACCTCATAAGTGATCCAACTGGAACACGGCGTTGCCATTTGCATGCTACCAAACATACGATCCGTTGTCCGTCCGCATCGATCATAATCCGCACGACATTTGAGGGTGTCCCTGGAGCGTAAGACTCGGGCTACGATCGTTGGCGTGCACGATCGGTGCTCGAGCAAGAGATGCGAGAGTCTTAGGTCTCCCTTTCCCTCAATGTCTTCGTTCGAACTGGACGCAAGGCAAGTCGTCCGAAACTAAATGACGTAATGAAGCCAGTGCCGATACGCACTGATCTCGGTGAGCCAACGTCTCTTGCTCTTCGATGAATACATAGTACGTTTAGATCTTAGCGGCGATTAATAAATAAATAATAATATTTCAACTTCGGTGACGTGTTGTGTCACTCGTCGTGCGACACGTAGATGATTTCGATCGTTTCAGCGAACGAGATGTTCGGATACTCATCGAGATCTAATTTTTGAGATGTCGATTGTCCTTTGAATAGAACAGCCTTAGATCATGTGAGTACTCACGACATCGTGGCAACGTCGCGTAAATTGCATGCGATGTGTTGCTGAAGCGATGGTTGGACGTTTCTGAGGTGTGCGTTCGTGTGCGACGAAAGCCATGAAGATTAACGCGTTGCGCAATTTTATCAGGCATCGTACGTGTAGCATGATGATATATTTTTTCAAAGTTTTTCACAATTTCTTGTGTCTTCCCAGAACACGCAGCGCGCGGTCTTCATAGCGTTTTCGCAACGCGTTGAAATAGAAGAGAGTCTTCTTTCCTTTGCAGCCTTTCCGGGTGCCCACGAGCTGATCGTTCGCAAATTCAGGCGCATTCCCAGGAGCTCAAGTGTCCTACGCCAGGATGCGACGGTTCTGGACATGTCACGGGAAATTACTCGTCACACAGAAGTTTATCCGGTTGTCCACGGGCCAACAAGCCAAAGAGTAAACCTCGAGATGGTCAAGATTCTGAGCCCCTGAGGTCAGTTGGCGCGAACACTATTAATTATGCGCTCTACATTCTGATTGCATTTTCCGTACACGCGATTAACACGGGTTAGCACTGGTCTCGGTCTTTATTCAAGGGCGTTAAATTTTAGAGGGTGGCGGTCTATTTTTAAAAATCTTAAAAGTAAAATTTGTTACAACTCATTATTTAATTTGTCTTTGCCTCGAAATAACTCGAAACTATTTTAGCGCTACGGCTTTTCTGTCCTTTGAAGGTTTAATTGTAAAGAATATTTTCAATTAATAGTAACTTACTTTTTAATGAGCAATACCAATCTCTGACCGTACTCTCTCTAACGAAAGAACTATATTATCGACTAAATTTTTCGAAAGATTAATTATGCAAGATGAATTTAATATATTTAACGTTAAACATAACATACATTTATTATTGTTTGTAGTGACATTTAAGTATAATTTAAATATAATTATGCTGCAAATGCAGCGTGCTCATTTTATTTGACAAAGTGAAACTTAATAAACAAACTATTTTGATTTGACAAAAAAAATTTTTCTAGTTATTCACAGTTTGCATTCAGTATTGATAAGTAATAAATTTAAGTTAATACAACGCGAAGGGGAGGTCCGAAAAGAGCAGGAGGGCTATCGCGAGTTTGTAAGATTTGGTTTCACGACGCGATTACATCTCGCAAGTTCCGCAATTTGAGGGTGCGGCGGTAATCGCGATCTCAATTTGCGTTTTCGTCGCGTTCGCACGTTGCACGTAGCAGCTAACGCAGGTATCTCCTCGACCGCATTGCACGTACCGCGAGGCTGCCGGATGAGACCCGAGAAAGGGGAAATCCCGTCCCTCTTCCCCGTAACCGCATCCTAACTCCCTTTGCCCGAGTTACACCCCGCGCAAAAGCGAAGACGCTGACTAATAACTGGCGGTTTCCGCTCGTTTCACGCTCGCTCTGTGCGGATGGATTATGTGGTGTTGGTGACGGTGGCGTTGGCATTTTGGACTACAGATGTCCAATCCCGGGTTGCGACGGGTCCGGCCATGCCACCGGCAAATTCTTGTCGCACCGCAGGTAAGGCTCGTATAAGAAACTTTCAGGCTACATGGATCTTGCTTTAGGATAATTGTATGCTGTTTTCTGTTTTTTTTTTTTTTCTGTATATACAGTGGATGGACAAACCTATAATATAATCGAAGGGTAACTCCTTGCATAAAAATAAATCAAAAGTGCAGAATGAACTTTTTTCCGTCCGAGGCTTATTTTTCGAGAAAATCAAGTTTAATTTTTAGAAAATCTTTAGATATTAGCACAAAGAGTTATTGCAGCTTTTGAAGAAGTAAGAAAAGTCATATAGGGTTACTAACCTTACTCTTCTAATAGTACATATGTACTCTTTTCGAAATTGAAAACAATGTATTCTTATTTTTCATTTATTATATTCTTTTTTAGTAAAGTGAGAAAATTTAACAAAATATTATTTAATATTTAAATTTATTATTTTACGAAAAAGTTATGGCTTGTATTTGGCTGTAAGGCTATGTTTGCTTTGGGCAGTATGTAATGTATATATGGTTTATCATATAGAGGTTTTGTTAAAAATTTGGTTATATGTATACATATATTGGTCGAAACTTATCAGCTGCAAGATACGTTAAATGAATTTTATTTTCTCGATTTTATTTTCTCAATTGTATTGATGTTAACATTAAAAAACCTGGTCATTAAGTAAAATGTAAATATATTTATAAATATTCCAGCTAACGTTCACAGAAAGTTCAATTCATATTACCAATGTATCGAATATTCCGGAATAGTAAAAGAATTATCACAGAATGTGCAAATGTCGATGAAATGTTCAAGCCTATTCTACAATGTGCTTTTTTGTTTTCTGTTTTTTGCTTTTTGCTATTTTTTACATCTTGTCTTTTTGCTTCTTATCGGTTTTTTTATTTTATGTCGCCCAAGATAAAAGTTAACGAACTTTGGAAGAAACAGGAAACACACGTAGCAAGAAATGCAATTGTCGATAAAACGGTTGCAAAGGAGGGAAAAAGCAATAGGTAAAAAACAAAAAACAGGAAACAAAAAACACATTGTAGAATAGGCTTTAGAATATTGTATGAATACTCCTTGTATATTTCACGAAAATCGCGAGCGAGCGAGCAGTGTACATCTCCGTCGACAGAAGGCCGCAGCGGAGAGCATTTATTCATAAACAAGAATCATCTGGGAGAGAATATAAGGAGCGCAGCACTTCGTCTATGAAGTGAGATTGGGCTTTAAGGTTGGCTCCATTTTTTAAAATAAAACTTTGTTTAAAACCTGATTCACGGACGATCTGACATGCAATTTTTGGAAAAAATAAAATTTTGCAGAATATATTATATATGGAACATTCTCGGAATATGTAAACGATATACAAATGAAATTTTCAACTGACATTTGAATGTATCTTTTATATTTCGTAAATATTTGAAATATTTCGGAATGTTCTTGGAAAGTTTTTTTTTGAGATGTTAGAGGAACATTTTATGAATATTTCCGGAATATTTAGTGTTTGCTGGGATATTTTATATATAATTTTATGAAGTCTAAATAAAGATTGTCAATAAAAATTACATTCTAGAAAAGAAATGTCATTTTATTGAACGTCGGTATTTAAAACAGGAAACCCCTTCATTTTCTTTTTTCTTTTTTTTAGAAAGTATATATACTGTTTTGCCAATCAATGTACACTTTTTCGTGCAACCAAAAATTGGTCCTTAGTAGAGAGATATTAATCAGAGTCCATAAATCCATAATTTAACAAGCACAATTTTGCTTATGGCAGTCGGGACATTTCCAGCAATTTTTCTCTTAATAAAATTAATAAAATTAAATTATTTGGCACATGTTTTTTAATTCTGTCTCCTAAAGTCATGTAGACGTTATGTGAACATGATAATGTTTACAATGCCTCGCAAACCATATCTTCATTAAGTGTACTCTCTAAATTCTTTGGAATGGAACCTCTAAAAAGTGAAAATTGAGCCAATCTGGAAAAATAGTTTCAATCAATTTTCAATCTTTAAGAATAAGATTTTACTCTTTAGGGTGACAATTCACTTAAAAAATTTAAAGAGTACTTAATATGATTTTTAAATTTGATTTTCTCGGAAACAAAGCCTCAGACAAAATAGTTTATCGGATACTTTTAATTTATTTTTGTATAAAGAATCATTTTCTGTCAGGTTGTACTATAGGTTTGTCCCCTGTAATTATCTTATGTGTCAAATTGCGACGATTAAATGCTTGTAGGAATATTAGCTTCTATACAGATCGCAAAATTAACTGTTGAAGTTCTAAATACTTATAATCTATTAAAAAGATTATTCATATTTTCGATTTCTATAATTTGATAATAAATTGGGTTAGTAAATTAATGTAACTTAAGTATAAAATATTGTTTTAATATGCTGTGATTACATTACTGTTTATATTTGTTAAAGGAAGATTGAGTTGATAATATACAACTTATTTTAATGATTATAGTTCTTGAAATCGAAGTCTTTATTCATTCGTAATGTGTATACGTTTCTTATATTATACATCTACATTTTCTTATTGCAGTGCATCTGGATGTCCAATTGCAAACAGGAATAAGATGCGAGTGTTGGAGTCTGGCGGCACAGTCGAGCAGCACAAGGCGGCCGTGGCTGCCGCGACAGCCATGAAGTTCGAGGGTGTCAATTGCCCCACACCTGGATGCGATGGACTCGGTCACATAAACGGCTCCTTCCACAGCCACAGGTCTTTATCGGGCTGCCCGATAGCCAGCCACGCTGTGAAGAAACCGAAACCGGAGGATAATATGAGCATGTACAGCAGAGGAATCACCGGTGAGGATCGAGTTGCCTGTGATGTCGCCTCCGGCTGTCAATACTTAACGATCGAAGAATAATATTGTCAGAGTTACGCTGTGCGTGAGACCAATCGTTACGAAGAAGAATAACGATCGAATTTTGTCCAAAGAGTATCCGTAAAAAATTCTCCTCGCGTGCAACTGTCAAAATTGAAACCGCGAGATGCGTTTTTCTATCAAAACGCGCGGTAGAAAGAGAGAGAGAGAGAGAGAGAGAGAGAGAGAGAGAAAGAGATAGAGAGATAGAGAGATAGAGAGAGAGAGAGAGAGAGAGAGAGGAAATGTTACTCCGTAGATAAGATGGTTTAAGTTCGCTCTCTGTTCTTTTCTATGCTTGCGCATCGCGCTCGTTCGGTGATTTATCATCATTTATTTCTTTTACTTCAGACATTTATATATGAAAAAAGTATTCATAAATTGATCGACGCCTGCTAAGACGAGCGCGATGCTAAAACATACGGAATTATGTATCTTCCTTTGTAAACTTGTGCATATCAAACCTTGTACTTAATTCCATGCTATGCCATACTCTGCTCTTCACGCAATGATGTGCTGTCATACCAATAAGAATAATCTCCTTCCCTATCCTTCCGTTTTTCTCTTAATCATCAAAGAGTTGGTTTTTGTTTTATTTCTCCCTTTTAAATATTTCTTTTTCCGTTTCGACCCCTTTCTTTTTCTCAGTAATAAATGTTTCAGGTTTGCGAACAAATATCGCAACTGATTAGATACGAAACGGTGAAAGGATGCCACAAATAGCTTATAAAAGAGAAAAAAAGAAGAAACAGAAGCAACAGAATTGAATATGATGGCGTTAATTTACATCTCATTTTTTTTTTCCTCCCTTTCGATTCGGTCCCGCGCAGGAAACCTCTTCCTTCGTTATGTACAAGACAGAAATGTAAAATCGAAAAAAAAAAAAAAACAAAAAAAAACAAACAACCGTATGTCTTAATGATGGAAAATAATATATTCTGATTTATTCTGGGATCAGCTCCTTTCATGTTGAGCTTGGAGCACGGTTACTTTTGAAGGTAAGGGACTGTCGTATTCGCCACTTGTTTCCTATGTGTTTTCGATGTTACATTACAGAATTTCCACACACCAGTATTTTTACTTTTACGTGACGACGTCCGAGTGTTGGCAATATCTGTGTAATCGTACGTTTGGCACAGTAAGCAACCGTAAGCTTCTTTTTGCTCATTCACGTGCGACAAAATGTCGCGCCGCGTATCGACGCCAGCACTCGGTGTCTTCCGTTTTTTTTTTCTTCTATCTGGTATGATGGCACCTCACGCTAATTACCCTCAGAACACCCCGATATTCTCCCGATCATACCATTTCCACGGCACTCCTGTCAGGTTCGTGCGTCTCTTACCGAGTCGGAGCACACGCTTGATCGAATGAGCCTCAAAGTGTCTCTCGCTTTTCTGCCGAGATGCGTTTATCACTTTGGCACGAACCATACGCAGAAGAAACCGTACCGTCCCATTATCTCGAGATAAGCTGTAATGCAGTGACTTGGGACGAGCGAAGTTAGAGAAAAAAATAATATATTACAGTAGAATCATCGAAAAAATTATTCTATTCGGGTCTGCATAATTGCGACGTTTCACTAAACCGCTTCGCCTGAGTCGCTGCCTGAACTGATCCTTAACGTAAAATTTGAAATGCTCGCTATATTTCCACTTGTATCGCATAAAATCCCGTAAATCCTTGTTCGAATTTTTCGATCTAACGCTTTCCGATCGTGAATGAAAAAAGAAAAGAAAAGAAAAAAAAAAAAGTAAGACCCGTTGAAACGCTTGTATTTAAATTCGTACGAACTTCCGTCGGGAATTCAAGTTGTAACCATTCAGTTTCCAGTAGTTTTTCCATTTGTTACGTATCACATATTAGGGCCGCATTTCGCATTTAGACGAAAGGGCGTACGAATCGCGCCATGCACGCTTGATTGCGGATGAAACCGATTCTTTGGAAATCGGGAAATATATGATATAATCTCTCTTTCGACCGTAAAACGGACATTCGATCAAACTGGACCGTGTCTGTCCTGTCTCTAGGGTTGGAAGCCGGTGGTCCGGCTCACGGGGGTGCGGTAGGCACGGGTCAGGGTAACTCGAGCGGTAGCGGGACCGCCGGTGTCCAGAGCGAGGATCTCTACACACTGGAGGCTGAAATCACCGAGCTCCAGAGAGAGAACGCCCGGGTCGAGTCGCAGGTCTTGCGCTTGCGCTCGGATATCACCGCCATGGAGAATCAGCTCAAGCAGGGAGAAAAGGTCAGTATTTGCTCAGTCGGTAGTATACCGTGTGTCGAATAATTAAATAACAAACAATTGCGTATATGTAAAAGTAGAAACTTTGTTTAATTTTAGATCAATCTTTGTGCTTTTCAGCTAATCGCTTTGGCCTTATCGCAATCGCAAAATCCAATTTCATTTTGAAAGCTAAATTATTACTCAATTCTAATACCATTCCAAGATAATATACGTTACGTTGTATGTTGTTTAAATAATTTTTTTTCACGATATTATTATTTTACAGAAAATTTATTACACATATATATA